AGAGAGAGAGAGAGAGAGAGAGAGAGAGAGAGAGGGGGGAGAAAGAGAGAGATGGAGACAGACAGATAAATAGAGCCTAGCTGGCAAAAATGTGGGGGTACGGAGGTTGGAATCAGAAAACACCTGATTAATCTAAACTATAAACACTTTCTGTTGTCTGTGTCCAAACTGAATTCTGGCACGATGTCATCACAGCTCGTCTACAGCAGAGGCAAAGAAGCGCCGACGAAGGCAAGCATTGGAACGTGAGCAGGTTTAAGTTAAGTATCAGTAAGGTACAGCTGCTAAGATTATTTAGATTCCGTACCAAACCACGAGGAAGCTAAGCTCACCTGTACAGAAAACCATGCAGCTTTAAGAAAAGCGTTTAGAATGGAGAACTGCAATTCAAATCTGATTGTTTGTACACGTCTTGTAACATGCATACCATCTATATTATTTAGAATATAACATTCAGTTTTAGTAAGAATTTAACGGCACTTGCAAAACAATAAGCTCCTGCTAATAAATATCGAAGATTAGAGGCGTCACAAGAGAGTAACAAACACAAAAAGAAGGAGAGATAGAACGATAGATCTTTCACAGAGCAGCCGTCAATCACCAATACAGACTAGGTCGACCCTGCCTGTTAGTGCAAGTGAACAATATATCAGGTGCTACACCTTGCAAACAGGTAGACGGGGACGCTAAATAAAATGAACATCCCACATTGGAATTCAACTCATATCTTTTGTATTCAATGGGGACAGATTAATCGCCACATCACAGACGTTAGTGAATAATTCACTTATCTTTCGAGGGGAGCAGGACTGAAATTGTGAACATTCTCGGCCTCAGTAATCCACCCAGGCATCAAATAAACTGAAATCCCACAATTAGCGCATAGAGTTCGACATCCTTGTGGGAAGAATTTGCGAACGGTATGTCGGCCGTTTGCTGGAAAGTTGTATCCCTCTCAGCCTAGGTTGGCGCCTCGTAAATGATTTACAATGGATGTTAAGTAGATTTGGAGCTTAAAAACACGTTAATAAAAAAACCCAGCAACAACAAAAACAACCAAACAAACAACCAAACAATAAGTGCTGAAAGAGCAGTTAAAACTGACAGGCGGCGAGGAAGAGAGCAGGGGAAAGCATAATAAGCCACACGGCTCCAGGTGAGCAATGCAGCATCTTTTACGACTAAATAGCCGAACAATAGAAGATAGTGATCAAATTATCAAGGGAACACAAACAACACACAACAGAAACCTTTCTCCTGCAAACATCTCTCTGGGACAGGGTGGAAAAACACAGGACCGCCAGGTTTGTCCGAGAGACGTTTCAAATCAGCGTGGTTGAGAATCCTCATTGCATCAATCAATAATAGTGACAGTTATTCTTGACTTGAAGTACTCTCTCTCTCTCTCTCTCTCTCTCTCTCTCTCTCTCACTCACTCTCTCTCTCTGTCTATCTGTCTGTCTGTCTGTCTGTCTGTCTGTCTGTCTGTCTGTCTGTCTGTCTGTCTGTCTCTCTCTGTCTCTGTCTCTCTCTCTCTCTCTCACACACACACACACACACACACACACACACACACACACACACGTCTTAAGCAATGATAAATAATATACCAAAGTAAACATCACAAATGAAGGGTTCAATGGAAATATAAGTGCTGTTACAAACCAGAAATCGTGAGGGTGTCCATTTTAAAATCGTGTACACTCATGACTTTATTCTGTTTGACTAGTGATTTATTGTTGTTGTTAGTTGAATGGGAAATCAAACATTAGCAATCAACCAACACTAGTACAGAAATGAAGTTATGAGTCTACAGGCTTTCAAATTGATTCTCACAAATTCCAGTTGGGATAACACACACGATGACAAAAGTTCAATCACGTTAAACAATCAGTGGGGTTAACAAAAATCCGTTATAAAAAAAAACCCTCTCTGACTGGGAGGGGGAGCTAAAGGACATCCAAGAATATCCCACTCTCCCCACCCCTCCATTCCGGAAAAAGAATCTCACTGGCAGGGGCAGGGGTTCATAGTAACCTTCTCTCGACTTCCACACCGTAAAAACTGTTTGTTCCTTGCTCCATACAATCCCTATTCCGTAAGCAAATCTTTCTGTCCCTTGCTCAAAACCAACCCCACCTCAAAAGCAGTTCTTTCTGTTCCTTGCTCTACTCCATACCACACCAACTGTGTAAGCAGTTCTTTCTCAGTTCCTTGCTTCACTACATACCACCCCCACAGCAGTCATTCTATTGCTAGCTCCATACCACCCCATTCCGTATACACTCCTTCCTGTTTGATGCTCCATACCTTCCCTACCCCTAAAGCAGTTCTTTATTATGCTTGCTACATGACACCCCACTCAGTAAACAGTTCTTGTTGCCATACCCCACCCCTAAGGCGGTTTTTCCAGCTTCTCGCTCCATACCATCCCAAGTCCGTAAGCAGTTCCTCCAGTTGCTCGCTCCATATCCCCCCTCCCAGCCCGTAAGCAGTTCAGCCATCTCCATACCACCCCCAGCCCGTAAGCAGTTCATCCATCTCATACCATCCCCCCGCCCCAGCCCGTAAGCAGATCCTCCAGTTGCTCGCTCCATACCATCCTCCTCCACCTCCTGATCCGCCATGGGCTCCTCCTCCATCTCCAGGTGCACGTCGGCCAGCTCCTTAAGGCACAGCCAGTCTCCGTCCACGGACACGCGGAATTTGCACAGGTAGATGGTCTCCTCGGCCATGGTGGCGTTGCACACAGCGGCGGACGGGCCTGCGTCGTAGGAGGAGGCGAGGCTTCCTTCGAGGAACTGGTGGAGATCCACCTTGAAGCTGGATGTTGGCGATCTACGCCCCCCTCTACTCGCCTGACAGTTTATTTGACAGTCTGTTTGTTCTGGTAAGTGTTTTACGGCGCTCACAACTGCATGAGGTTTGACAGTTTGCTGATTCAACTGTTTGAACTGGTGGAACACAGTGAGGTCTGAGCATAGGGTTGAGAACTGTACACTTCAGAGAAGTAAGTAAAAGATCTGATCCGCGCGAGAGGGCTAAAACACCTTGCTCCTGAGCACAACGGTCGAACAGGAGAAATCAGTCCGCCACATTCAATCTATTTCATAATATGAACGTCTGAAAGGGCAGGCGAGCACCCAGTAAGAGGAGGTTTGAGGGCCAGCTGTTCGTCACTTTCAGCAAAAATACATTGCTTGAGAAGCGCACAGTCTCTGATGGCGTATCTGATGACGTCACGTGAGTCCAAAACAACAGGCGGCTGAGCTTCCTTTAGCAGGTTGAAGAAAGCCACTTCAGTACTGACGGGCGGTGAAAGATTTACGTTTGAGTACGATTATTGGGCCTTGTTCAGGAAGAAGACAGTCAGTAGTGACGACCAGGGTCGAGAGAAATAAAGGTTCTTACGAGAAGCTGAGGTAAACTCACGTTGGTGATGGTAATGATCGACATTACCTGCTTCCTGTCACATGTGAGAAGTCTCACCAGTGATTGTACGGCAACAGAATTAGAGGGGACTCACAAGAAAGGGAAACGGTACTTATGCGTTGCAAGTCTGCGCATTATAGGTCATGGGAATTGTATGTCGAATTTAGCACTGTTGGTCTCCATACAAGTTCACGAATACTGATAGTCAGAGACTTACTTTGGTCCCAATGGCATACACACAGTAATCCCTAGAGCCTCTTTCTGGACTCAGAAATAGTCACTGTGAGTTAATGTTACTATTTCTGCCGTGTATCTGCTACCTTCAAATCAGTCAAAGAACATTTTGTTATGAAGTGCCGATGAAAAGACAGGAAAAACATGACACGGTAAATATAAATAAAGGTTAGGTTTTTTTTTCTATACAGCGCACACTGCACAGTCAAACCAAACATTACATCTTCAGTGAAGAAAACAGCATTTAAATATATATATA